TGCTATTAGATAATTGTGTTCTCTAACTAGGCTTTTAGCATTTATTTTCATTATGTATGTATAATCTATTGAATAATGAGGAAGACACTCGTTTTGTCGTCCATTAATAAATAAATTAAAAAAAAAAAATAAAAAAAATTAAGATAATCGTTTTGCTTCCTTGAGACGCATCTCTGGCATTGCCATATATTATGGTCTTCACCATTACAAAGTACGCAAACAGCAGCCATTAAGTTAGTAGTCCTACTGGGGTTAGTCTCTTTGTTCTTGCCCACCTGAGAGCTCGGCGTATAGGTTGCCATAGCATAATCCACACTCTCTAGGGTTCTGCAGCGTTGCTCCAAAAATGGGGCAATTTGTACCCATGATGGAATTAAATTTGCAAAGGCGGGATCCTCCAGTTAACTTCCCACTTCGCCTGCGTAGCAGGATCCAGTTTTTGCAGTAGCACCTGAACAAGGATGCAACCAGCAATTTGCTCCTTGCTACCCAAACTGGGGAGAGCACGAATATGGGCATTAAACTTATCCGACAATTCACGCAGCACGCCAGCGGAGGCATTCATTACCTTCTTGAGCCACAGCAGTTCAACGATGTGTGCCTGAAATACTAATCGACGGTTATCAAATGTAATAAATTAAATGCTATGGAATAATTAGCCTCTGATATTTCCAATGACCGACTGGTATCCAGCGCAGAGTCCTTCAAGCAGAGCCGCAAATGCTGCATTTTTTCAATGTTTGTAAGTTCGGGATGATTTTCGATTAAAGTTGTGAACATTGAAAAGAAATCTGACCACTCCGTATAACCTCCTGAAAACTTTGCCAATTTGATTGGTGTTAAGGTCGGTAACGCTCTGGATCTAGTCATTGACGCAGCAGCAATTGGTTCATTTACAAATGTGGAGCTGGACGGCAATGCTCTACTGCGCTTAGCAATTTCAAACCGCACCGAATTATCCAAAGTTACTGAAAGCTCGTCAAAAGCCTTGCGTAACTCACTGCCGATTTCGTCAAAGTCTAGTTCTTCCCAATTTGTTTTGAGCGTCTTCAAATGCAAATTCATTTTTTCAATCCGCTTGAGCAGCACCGACAATGCAATTTCATTATTATTGGCAGGGGGCGCTTGGTTGGGGCTAGATTGAAGCGCCTGCAACCGCTCATGAGAGGACGCCACCTTGCGCTTTAAAAATGACACCCTGTTTGTAGGCTGGGCCAGCGATTCAGCACTAGAACTTTCCATGGCAACCGAAGCAAACGAAAAAAGGTCAAAGAAAACCGAATTAAATCTGCACACGAAAGTTGACCGTTGACTTATTGTCAGCACTGTACTCTTAAGCGAGCGCAACAGTTAGTCGAATAAAAACACAAGTAAAATGCAGATAGCGAGAGTCAACGCGTCTATATGTATATATGCTTATGTACACAGACTCCTCTTTACTGCAATTCACCGCATGACACTTGTTCTTACATATATATGTATATAAGAGCGATTTTTTATTGCTGCCTAACAACTCAATTTTAATTTAAATAATTTTATGCAACACTATAATGTTAAATAAAAAGGGTTCACGTCGGGGTCACCAAAATGTTGGGCTAACAAGCTTTTTTATTAGCACTTAATAGCGAGAAGTTAAGGATGTTATAAAAACTCCACTTTTTCTTATAAGTTCATGCAACGGGTTGATTAATTTATATGCTTATAGCGAGCGTATTGATAATATGCGAAAATATACAATTTTTAGCGAAGCGATCGATAAGAGATCCGATATAGCGAACATACGAGACAAGAATGCATTGCGGCGTCGCTAGTATTGATGCGCTAGCTGCTTAAGACAAAGTGCAAAAGGTAAAAGAGCGCGATAACAGAAACTACGATGAGCGCAAAGCGATAAGCGCTAGATAGTTAACAGCAAATAATATTGAGCTATTTTATGACATGCGAGAAGCGCCAAACAAAACGAAATAGTGACTTTGCTTGCCTCGCAGGGCAATATGTAACTGAAACATAACCGAACCGAACATAATACTAGTTTAATTTTTAGCTGTTGAGCCGAACAATCACCCAACACCAAAAATAGGTCATTATCACGCACGTGTGAAGATACTTCTTTAATGCAAGTAATGTGTTTCATATAAACTTGAATGTCAGAGGAAGGAGGAGCATAAGAGTATGAAATATAGATATTCCGTGTAGGAAAAGACACCTTGACTGAGACAATCTCAGCGTCAGTAGGCGTACTAGGAAAATTTCTGGCTGGAGAATGGCTTTAACGGCAATTAATACCCCACCACCTCGAGTCGGCCGATCATTTCTTTACAAAAGAATATTTTTCGAAAAAACCTCAAAATCAGATATAGTTGAATTTAACCATGTTTCTGAAAATGCGATTATATCCGAATCGAACGAAGTGCTGGCCATGAAAAGGTACATATCATGTGAAACATTTATTTTGAATGATGATATTTCACGAAGAGCTTAGGGGGCTGAGGCAGTTTGACTAACTGGTACAGGTTCAGGTACGGGGACTAATGAGACTAATGCAGGGCATAAGACAGGGGTAATATTTGGGCAGTCACTCAGAGACAGCGATAATGACAATATTGGAGATAAATGTACGTTGCTAGGCAGGGACAAGAAAGGCGTAGGTAACTGGACAGTCGGAGAGGGCAACTGCAAAAATTGAGGCTCCAACCGGCGATTGGTTGGAGACTCGAAATTGTATTTGCTAAGCAACTCAAAACTCAAGCCAAAACTACTCGAGAGCTGCCTAGCCCCGTTATTCAGTTTTAAGAATTGATTTATCGCACAATTATACATTCTGGAGAAATCAATTTGCTTGTCGATGCATTCTGGGCACGACCAACGCAAGCCGCCGCAGCATGGACACCTCAATGTCAACAAGCTTTCTATTATTTAAGAACAAACTTAATGAGCATAACAATGAGCGTAACAGTACCCATATTTCAGCAAGCATTTTGCATAATAACTGATGCAAGTAAACAAGCTTATGGAGCGGTTTTAACTCAAAACCATATTGGACTCCAACTTTCAATAGCTTATGCACCACGTGCATTTACTAAGGGTGAAAGTAATAAAAGTACAACAGAACAAGAACTAGCAGCATTACACTGGGCAATCACCCATTTTCGACCATACATTTATGGCAAACATTTTACAATCCGAACAGACCATTAACATATTTGTTTTCAATGATCAATCCTGGCTCAAAATTAACACGCATGCGGTGCGAATTAAAAGAATACGACTTCACAGTCGAATATCTAAAGAGAAAAGACAATTATGTAGCCGATGCGTTATCAAGAATAACCATCAAAGAACTTCATGATCAAAAACATAATGAAAGTCACTACCAGATATAAAAGTAGACAAAAATCCTGCGCAGGAGATAAAGAAATAAAATTGCCTATGCAATCTATAGAAAAGACTGCAAAGCCCAACGCATATGAAGTCATCAACAATGATGAAGCACGTGAAGTATTGACCTTTCAAGTAAAAAATATGTAATGTTTCTTTAAACATGGAAAAAAATTACTGCAAGATATGATGTTAGCGATGTATATATTATTCTATATTAGTGGAATTCTTGACTTAAGTCAGTTCTTCCAAAGGCTTGAAATGCAAGCCTCAAAGTGGCACTGTGGGGAAATATCTTTGAACAAGTTTAAATTGCTAATTTCAAACAAAGGGGCAATAAAATATTGAAAACATTAAGAGCAGCGCTACTCAACCCAGTGACCCTAATAAAAGAACAAAAAGAAATAGATGCTATATTGTCTACAGTTCATAATGATCCACTACAAGAAGGTCACACAAGCGTTACAAAAACCTTGGCCAAGGAAGGGTATGACTCGATATGTTCCTGAGTATACACAATCTAAAGTCAAAACTACTCAGAAATCAAAAGTGACAACACACACAAAAACTTCTTTAACAATTACGGAAACCCCAATCAATGCTTTTGATAGAGTAATAGTAGACACGATCGGTCCACTACCAGAATCAGAGCAAGGCAATGAATATGCAGTTACACTGATATGTGACTGAACAAAATATCTAGTTGCCATACCTATTCCAAACAAAAGTGCAAAAGTCATAGCTAAAGCTATACTCGAAGATTTTATTCTGAAATACAGTCCAATGAAGACATTCATTACGGACATGGGTACAGAATTTAAGAATTCAGTAATAGAAGATTTATGTAAGTACCTTGGTATTAAAAACATAATTTCTACGGCACACCACCACCAGACTTTAGGAACTGTGGAACGAAGTCATAGAACGGTAAACGAATTCGTTCGTGTTTATAAATTAGTTGATAAAACTGATTGGGATGTTTGGTTACAATACTTTGTATATTGTTTTAATACAACACCATCCACAACGCATGTGTTTGTCCCTTTGAATTAATTTTTAGTAGGAAACCTAATATTAACAATGTAAATGAGCACATTAAGCCTCTATATACATAGTATCAGGAATCAAAATATAGGTTAGAGTTAGCATATAAAAGAGCTAGAATAATGCTCGAAAGGAATAAGCAAAAAAATAAACTTATATATGATAAGAAAGTAAATGAACAAACAAACATAAATAAACAAAAAAGGTTTTTAATCAAAAACCTAGTTTTCGACCGATCGTTCCTATGGCAGATATATGATATAATAGTCCGATCTTAATAGGATTTTTCCTATATATGAGGAGTATAGCAAAATTAATAAATGCCAAGTTTGTTCAAGATATCTTGAAAAACAAAATGTTTTTTCATACAACTTATTTTTCGATCGATAGTCTTATGGCAGCTATATGATAAAGTGGTCCGATCTTAAAAGGATTTTGCATATAGATGAGGAGCATAGTAAAACTAATAAATGCCGAGTTTGGTCAAGATATCTTGATAAACAAAATGATTTTTAATATTTATTTGTTGGCTGGCTCGAGGTCCGTGTTTGTTAAAACAAACAATGAAAACAATTTTATTTTAATTTTCTTCCGATATATTTCGGTTGCACATCGGCAAACCGTCTTCAGGGCACTAACACCAAGATACAAAAAACAATTAACAATTATAATACAATAAATTAAACATTATTTCGAACATTTTACATACATTATTTTACACGTCTGCGCTTTTTGACGTGGAGATTGTTACTGAGGTTGTTTGGCTGTTTAAGAGGTGTCTGTACAAGTGAGCGCAATTTTCTGTGTCTGTCTTGTAGTTTAGTCGTTTGTTGGTTGGTGTGTTAATTATGTGTAGCATTTCCAATGTGTGTCGCTTGTTATAGTGTTGTTCTTGTTGTAAGATTGTTGTTTCATCAAAATTTGGTGTGTGGTTGCTTTTTATACAATGGGTCATAAGTGCTGTTTTCTGTATATTATTTTGATGTCTTAGTTGGAAGTCCCATTTATGTTGACTAATCCTTGTTTTTAGCTTCGATTTTGTTGTACCTATGTAGACACTATTGCACTTGTTGTTGTTTTCCCCGCCACATGGTATTTGGTAAACGACGTTACTTTTGTCGATCATCGGGATTTTCGACTTTATCTTGTTGAAGAATTTTTGTAATGTATTCGTCGGTTTGTGTGCTACTTTTATATCTTGTTTGTTATAACAGTCTGAGTTTGTGAGGCGTTCTGATAGTCGTGGTACATATATTAGTGATTTGTATATTTTGGCAGGTTCTGTTGACTTTTTTCTTTCGATTTGTCGTCTTTTTAATAATGTTTTGATTATATTTGGGGGGAAGTCATTTTTGGTCAAGAGTTTTTTGATTTCATGTTCAATTTCTTTGTGGTATATTGTGTCCGATATTTTCATCATTCTATTCATACAGCCTAGTGCTGTATTGATTATCATACTCTTTGGGTGGTTTGAATTGAAGTTGAGTATTCGTCCGGAGGCTATGGGTTTCCTATACCACTTTATTTTGAGTGTGTTGTCCATTCTGCTTACAATAGAGTCTAAAAATGGTAATTTCCCGTCCTTTTCTAATTCCATTGTAAATTTTATCTGTTTGTGGAAGGAATTCAATTCTTTTAGAATATTTTCCACGTCTATTTTGTTCGTTATGGCAAAAAGGTCATCTACATATTTGGTCAAGAGTCTTGGTTTTATTTTTAATTTATCTGTAATCTTGTCCAACAGTTCCTCCATTAATATATCTGCGATTACTGGGGAAGCCGGTGATCCCATTGGCATTCCTTTAAGTTGTGTGTATATTTTGTCTTCGTATTTGAAATATCTGTTTTCCTGTATGCAAAATCTAACTATGTCCATAAATAGTTGTTTCGGTATATTCGTGTGCTCTTCTAATTTGGTCCATTTTTGTCTTATTGTGTCAAGTGCTAATTCTATTGGTATGCTGGGAAATAAGGATACTACGTCAAAAGATACTAATGTTTCCTCTTCTCTAATCTGGGAGTTGTTGACTCTGTCTTTAAAATCTACCGCGTTCTTGATGTTGTACCTAGAGTCCATTGTCAGATTTTTTAATATTTGTATTATATATTTGCACAGCCCGTAAGATGGAGATCCGATGGAAGAACATATTGGTCTCAGTGGTGTTCCTTCCTTGTGTATTTTTGGTAGTCCATATATCCTCGGAGGTACCGCTGTTGTTGTAGTCATCTTATTTCTTTCGTCCTTTGAAATAAGACCCATCTTGAATAATTGTGCTACGAAGGTGTTATTCTTTGTCTGTAGTCTTGATATCGGATCCAGTCTCAGTGTTCTATACGCGCATAAGTCGTCTAAAATATTTGTCATTTTATTTTTATATTCATCCTCATCCATTGCTACGGTTTGTTTTGTTTTAACAAACACGGACCTCGAGCCAGCCAACAAATAAATATTGAAATATGGAAAGGTCGCCAGAGCCATCAATAAATATCAACGGAAGGCACGCCGTATGCACAGCAACCAACATGAGCTACGCAAAAATAAAAACTAAATACAAGGATTCGAAAAGAACAATTAATAAATTCCAACTAACACTGGTAAAATTAACTAAACTTAAATCTAGTTTAAAATTTTTGTTAAAATGTAGAAAATCAAATTTAATACCTAACTTCATCAAAAACTTGACACAGCATTTGACCATACTGACCACTGACAATAAAACCCACCCTGACATAACAAGAACATTGACTAGACACACACATTTTTACCATACCAAAATATTAAACTTACTTATAAAACACAAACACAACCTATTACAAGAAGAAACAAAACATATGGAAAAAGCAAAAACAAACATAGAACAACTGATGACCACAGATGACGCAAAAGCGATTTTGCCTATATATGGGGAGTACAGTAAAACTAATAAATGCCGAGTTTAGTCAAGATATCTTGAAAATCAAAATGTTTTTTCATACAAAAACTTAATTTTCGACCGATCGTTCCTATGGCAGCTATATGATATAGTGGTCCGACCCAGCTGGTTTTGACATATGTGCTGCGTGGAACAGAAAGAGGGACTTCTGCACAGTTTCATTAAGATAGCTTTAAAACTGAGGGACAAGTTCGCATAGAAACAGACAGACGGACAGACGGTCAGACGGACAGACGGACATGGCTATATCGACTCGGCTGTTGATTCTGATCAAGAATATATATACTTTATGGGGTCGAAGATGTCTCCTTCTATGGGTTACACATTTTACGACAAAATTATAATACCCTCTGCAAGGGTTAAAAACAAAGAACAAAAAGTAAATAAGGATAGACTAAAAACTTTCATTTTTAAGTGATGTAGTGTGATACATACGTAATAATTGGCATTGGTATATATGTAAAGCTTATCAATTATTGCAAATAAAAAGAAAATAAATTTAATTTTAATTTTCGTTAAATACAAAAGTATATTCGCACAAACTAAAACAAAAGCAAGTAAGAGGTTCTAGTCGGGAGCTTTCGACTAGGGGATACCCTGAATCCTCTTCTTCCAACATCAAATGCATAAATATATTCTATTTAAGAAGCTATATGTCAAGTTTGGTGACTCCAGCTCTTATTATTTACCAAAATTGCCCAAAAACAGGATATCGATATCGATTTTTATCGATTGCTTGGAAACGGAGTAAGTTATCGATTATCGGAAACAAACTCGATCTGCGCAGGCACTAGGAGTACCTACATCTAGATTTCAATATCAAGTCTCTAGCTCCTATAGGTTCTGAGATCGTTGCGTTCATACATACGGACGGACGGACAGACAGACGGACATGGCTAGATCGACTCGGCTATTGATGCTGATAAAGAATATATATACTTTATGGGGTCGGAGAAGCTTACTTCTGTATGTACACTTTGTTGCATACTATAACAATTTTACATTAAACAAGCCCAGAGCCACTTTATGTATTGGCTCTGGCTCATATTACGCAGCGCGGTCCAATAGCCCTCTAGCTGACCGTTTATGTGTACGTTGCAGATCCCACACTCCGTCTGAGCGCATTTTATGAGCAAAATATATATGCTCACTTACACAGGCATAACATAGGCAATAACAGCAAAAGTATATGCATGTACCCATAGGCTTAGCACGAATATTTAAATTGAAATAAGGCCATTCTCAATAACCAAGCAAATCAGCACTGACCTGCTTCTGTGTATAATTTATATCATCAATGACAACTGATATTACAGTTGCCTCACTTTCACTGTCGGAGGCCGCTGGTATGGATGTTTATCACGTGATCAAAGATTTGGAATCACTCGATGACTTTCGTGTGTATGTCGTTAATTTTATTTGCTGACATCTCCAAATGCGCCGCCAGCACGTAAGCTTGACTCCAGTCTAACCTCTGAGTCTAAGGAGTAAGAAGAATACTGAATGGTGCATATTCTCGTGCTTCTGGACATGATGGTTCAGTGAATTGCTTACTGCTTGGACCTGTCATGGAACGTTTTAGGTCGAACCGTCGGGGCTTAACTGGCTTCTTAAAAGAGCAAGCCGTACTAGTTACTTTTGCCTACTTATGCAGCTTTCGCCATGGCTGTGGGCCTCAGAGCGATTAGCTTCTGTCACTTCCTGCTTCCTGTGTTTCCCTGTGAGCCCATCAGCTATCCAAGCAAATCTAAGGCAGTTTGGCCCGCGTCCCCGCCATTTTTTTCAAGTGACCCATTGCTGTGAACAAGGTGGTATTAAATGATTTTCGATTGAATAACGCAGGCCCGTCTTCTATAACTTGTATGGAGGGACATAATTTTAGACAATGGAACTTTATCAGAGTCGTGACTTTAGGGTGGTTGCCAAGGGATGGCACGCTTTAACTGAGATTCCCGATATCATGGGTGCTTGTGATTCTTGTCTACATCTCTCTCGGTGAGACTTTGGACCTCATTTCCGACTTGAGCGCCTGCTCAAGAAAGGTTTCATAGTTATATGGTAAGGCTGTGGAGACAGCTTGGGCGCCATGGCATCAACGCAAGCCGCTGCGATTCCTAAGATTCTAGGGCGTTTTGATAAGATGATGTCGATAATGACATCTAGCCTAAAGATGATGATGTGCGTGCTACAAAGTTTGTTCCTGCATAATTATGACCTCATTTCCGGACTGCACGATAGACATTCTTCTTATATCGAAAACCCACTTGTATAGCCGATTCTCTTTTCGCATCCTTCAGGTCCTGGCACTCAGAGGGCCCACACTCTTTCCGGATTTTGCCTGTCATTTGCCCTTGGCGATTGACTTTGAAATTTACAAGGACATAGCTTTCAGTCACCTCGCCATGATTGAGTGGCAAGATAGAACCCAACAAGTTGCTGAGTCCTCGCACCTACTATAGTTGCCTGATGATATCAACACTTTCGCCCAAAACAAAGTACTTCAAATCTGTACAACCGCCTGAACAGAGGGCAAGTGGGTATCTAACGCAATGGGTATCTAAAGCAGCGTCGTTAAATCTGAGATTCAGGCCTGCTCTTGGTTATTTCTTAAAAAATGGCGAAGAATAACCATTATCAATGCATTCACGGGTAGTGATGCTGCAATTCGGATTTTCTCATATATGATAATTTTGAGGTTCGTGTAATTTGGGCTAAGAATTCACAACATCTGAGGGTTCATCTTATTTAAGACTCTCAACGTACCAAGCAGTCGAAGTTGTTTTTATCCTCACTGCGAACTCTGCTAACTCTAACTCACCTTGCAACAAGTCTTATTATAGAGATCTCTCTTTTTAATATTTGCTTTCATTGCCGATACCACTACTCTTGCTGCTACTAGATCTTTTAAAACTTGTTTCTCTCTGGGACCTGAAGTGTTTCTGTACTTCAATCATTACTAAAGCGTTTTAACCTTTTCCTTGATTCTGTTTTCTTAGAGCGTCTTTGGGAAATATCATTAGTAATTCCACTATACAAAGGATGTGGAAAGTCT